TGGGAGTTGAAGTCCACTCATCTTAAAGTGGCCAAGTTTGGACAACACTGTTCTAAACATTTATGCCATGATTTTGAGATTCCCCTCCCCCTTTTTTCCCTCAATCTACTCAGCTTTTCAAGTTCACTTTCAGGCAGCAGCTTCTAAGGCACAGCAACGTCACCAACTGTTGCTTGTCAGTGTTTGTGAACTGACCCACAGTTATAACACAGGAAGCTAGGAGAATTAGTGAGATGGCTCCCTTATTTTCAACTTCCTTTTATTCTCTGTTTTATTTTGTTTTATATATTTTTAATGTATTTTACTGTTTTTAGCTTTGTTGTATGCCGCCCAGAGTCGCCTGTGGTGAGATGGGCGGCTATATAAATTGATTAAACAAACAAACAAACAAATAGTGGGCTGTTAATATAGGAAGTTAGTGGGCAGGTTCAACTTCGGGCAAGGCCAGGCCTAATGTTAGGTATCCTGAGGCCAAGATCTTAGACCTTCACCTGATGTTTTTTTCCCATTCTGGCCCACCTTCCCCCCATTTCCTTGAAAGTAGGGCTGTGTGTGGCACAAAATGTATTGTACATCTCCCCTAACTCTTTTGCTACCATCCTTTATGGGATAAGACTTTACCCTGTTGCCAGCACTGAAATAAGATTAAGGTGCCAGTGTCACTGGCTTCCATATTTGGGATGGAGGGAATGCCATCTCATATTTGCATGAGAGAGTAAAATTTGTTTTGTTGCTCCAAGGTTTGGGCAGCAACATAAATACATTCTAAGTAAACATCTATTTATGTATTACATGTTAACCATGCCACTATTCTCCTGAGACTTGGAACTGTTTTTTAATATGCTTATGGCTTTATAAACCTGAGGCAATTTTACAAATTATAACTCGACATGGAAGCATTTCTGCAAAATAACTAATACAAAGTTCCATAGCCAAAGCCACATTTGAAAAATTGCTTGCCTGCTTGTTCAGACTTAAGGAAAGCATGATATCTACTATGTCTACACCCAGGGTTGTTACTAGCATTTCTAGACTTTTAGCAAATTGTGAATATTATCTAAACCAGAAATGGGCAACCTGTATTTCTGTCCTCTCAAAGTGGCTGCTAAAAGTGACACTTTGGTCCTACAAGTGTCAACAGGGGCTCTAAATACATATTTCATGCTGCTCAGGAAGTTATTACTGTACTTCTCTCTAAATAATTAAAAATGTTTTCCCCAAACCATGTTTCACCACATAATTTTGCTACGTGATAAAATTATTAATTTTTAATTAATTCAAATAAACATGCATTTTATAACACCTATGGGCAAGCTGAGTTGCCAGGGTCACCACCAACCCCAGAGACCCACTAAAAGTTGTAGCCACATCACAACTGTTAACTGAACAGGATAGAATTATTAAATGTATAGGAAAGAATTATATTAACAGCGTTAAATTAATTTAAAATAATTTTACAGTATATTTAGTTTTTGCCTTAGCACCAATCACTTTTTTGGGGTGTAGATCCCAAAGGCTGAGCATGCCTTTTGGGCCTCCATATTTGTGCACCCACATTTTACAAGAGCTCAGTACAGTGGTACCGAGGTCACGAACGCTTCTGTTCACGACCAATTCGGGTCACGAACAGCACCGTTCGCAAAATTTTGCTTTTGTCCGTGAACTCCGCATTGGGTGACGAACAGGATCCGTGGCCATTTTCTCTCCCGTGACACGTGGTCGTGGTTTCCTGTAGGGAGGGGGACTCTCCCTCCACACAA